TCATGAGACCTCAGAACCTCTTCCAAGGACCATGGGAGAAAATCTTGTAGAGGACTTGCTCACCAAGGATGTCGCAGAACAAGCTTTTGAGGCAGGTGAAGAAGTTCCTCCTTACACAAGAGTCTCCACTATCGCTGGTGGAATATACACTGGTAGTATGACGTTGATGGAAGATGAAGATATGGAAGAGGAAGTTCTTGAAGAAGATCCTGCAGTTGAACCCGTAAAAGATGAAGAAGTTTTTGATGAGAATGCAGGTATTTTTCCTTCAGAGGAACCAAAGATGGAAGTGGACCAGGAGGAAGCCAAGGATGAGTCAGCGCAACACTTTCTGTCAAGAGAGATAGGTGAGGACTCTGCTGCATCGCACTTACCATCAGGTGAGATGGATGCTAACCTTGATGATACTTCAGGTCAGCGGAAGTCTAAGAGAAGCCGCCTGAATAAGATTCCTGATCCTCATTTTCACGAAGAAGTTCAGGATGATGCAACGATGGAGGAGAAGAAGAAGGCGGTGGAGAAGATAAAAGAGGTCAGAGAGGATGATGGAGAGAAGAAATTGGAGGCTGAAATCCAAGAATCTTTTCCATCTGAAGTAGTTGCTGATAAAGATCGTGTGGATGCTGACAATACCTATGAGTTGCATACCTCACCTTTGAGGTTGCTTGGAGAGATTACCAATGATCCAGGTATTGGCTTTTATCAACTATGCTTCAGGGAAACTCACGCAAGATTGCTGAACCATGTTTGTTTCAGAAAAGGTGAGATTTCCCATCCTCATTATCAGTCGAGGATCAACGAGGATGATTTTGTTCGATCCATTCGAAATGTCTGTCCAGTACCTCCACCTGATTGTTATGAACACGACTCAGAGCATGATTTGAAGAGGTTTTTCATCAATGATGATCGCATCAGTTATTTGGATGGCAAGTATCAGGTCGATCCAAAGGCCCTTGAAAGGGCAGAGCATGCTCGAGAAGAATTGGAGGATACGAAGAAGGAACTTAAGAAGGAACTGGAATCATATGGTCCCAAGGGACCCAGTTGGGACTTTGTCACCTTCTATGAAGAGCTGTGCAGAAGGTTCCTCAAGGGAAGAATAGAAGGACAATATGGAACCAACTTATTGGCCAGCTCAGAGTCCTTGACGTTTTTATCCTGGAACTATGGCAACATGGTTCGTGGTCAGAAATACACCACACCAAAGTTTCTCCAAGGACTTGATCGTGCAATGAAGCCACGCAAGCAGAGTGCCATGTCACTTCAGTATGAGCAATTTGAAAACAACCTTTTCTTCAACATGCTCTTCTTTTTACGTGCGCATGTGGTGATTCTCCAGGAAGCTCACCTCCTTGTTCCTGCCAAGGAATTTATTGAGCAAAAGAATTGGACAGTTTGTTTCAATGATTGGGAGAATCTTGCAGTGATGGCTAGATTGTCACCAGATGGCTATATCAAGGTCATTGCTGGACATGACCAAGACCTTGGTCACTGTCAACAGCGTGATGTAACTTGGGCTATCTATGAGATTTGTTTTGGAGAAACAAGGCCTCGTCAGGACTTCAAGGATGCAGACTTTGAATTTGAGGACTATGGTCCTAAGGAAAAGCGTGTTCCACTTACTCGAGCGAACATGCATACTATCAGAGTCTGTAATTATCATGTTGATACACACCGTGCGGTGGATGCCCACCTACTGACAGGAGAACAGACAGCATTGATGCTTTATGAGTGTTTTGTATATGAGGTGGACATCATTTCTGGTGATGCAAATAGTTTAGCCTACAGAATGTCTGGGTACAAAAGGCAGCCAATGGCTAACTATTATTACAGCACCATGCAGCATTGGATCCGCAGGTTTTCAGAAGCCCGTGTAAAAGCAGATCCTGGTATCAAAGCACCTATTCCCAGAACATTTTACAGTTCATCTTCACAGGTCCTCAAGCAGTGTGAAGTTTACTTTGACAAACTCTGGGAAGAATATTCTACTGCTGAAAAAGAAGAATACCAGGGATCACAGCTTGGAGATACATGTTTGTCTACCATTGTTGAATGGGGTCATTCAATGAGTGATAAGGAATATGAAAATTCCACAGTGAGCGCGAAGGAGTTCATCTGTAATTTTTCAGAGAACTTTGCTATGATTGACACGGAGGTTATGTGCTCAAGGCCCTCTGACGAGGACAGTCATGGTCCAATGTTTATTTCACTCAGACCAGCTTCCTATTCATCTGGAGACAGAAGACAGTATCGCATGGGAGCAACTCTTCATGAGGCGAAATTGCGGAGGAAGGAGAAACAGAAAGAGAATAAAAGGAAAGGAAGGCCGCCAACTTCTGATCAAGCAGCTCCATCGACTGCAGCGGCATGAAACTCAGAGCGGAGGCTAACTTTTAATGATAGCTAGGAAGTGAAGATACTTCTGATCACAGTTGATACTTTGCTTCCAGGCTTGACTTTAAGTTGCCAGGCTGAAGTTTTAATGGATTCTGGTTTGCAACAAGGAGAAACTTTTTGTCAAAGAAGATACTCCTGCATTCCAGGTTTATGCGCTTTAGCATGCAGATAATACAGTTTACTAAACGGTTATTATCTGCAGGTAGGTATGGACAGTTTTTCAGAACTGATGATAACTACCACAGCCGCTCTTTTGAGGTGACCTCTAATGGACAACCATTCATGGTTGATGATTAAGTCATTTCATAAGTTTGCATTTGTAGTGCAAGTTTTGTACATACATTTGCCGGTGTCTCCTTCCTTTTAGTTTTTGGTGTCAATGAGAGTAAGAGTCCTTTTGATGCAGTGTATGGAAGCGGCCGAGACCACTTTTAGAGAAGAACAATCCTCGGACCGAGAGTTGACGCTCCTTGCATTTTGCAAGGCATCTTAATTCGTTGCAATTTGTGCGGTCTTGAATTTTTAGTTCTTCGTTACGCGAGTGTCGTTTACTGCTTTTACAGGTCTCTGTGTAAGAAAGCCGCCTTCTTTTGAATTTAAGTTTCTTTGAAGCTCTGGCTATTTAAGGGCTATTGAGCGCCGGTACATGGTATCTTCACCGGTGAACGATACAGTCTCCAGCTGAGATACATTGTCTTTGACTTTGTATTTGAGGTGAGTCAGCTATTGCTCCCTCACTGTATTTAGTATACCTAGAGATTACCTTTTCTAAAGTGTGAAATACACTGGAATTGGTAAGTACAGGGCACCGTGGTTTCCTTTTAAGCTTACTAGAGCTTGCTGGACTGTTTTAGCCTTGCGGTAGAAAAATAGTGTGCGACATACGCAATAGGCAGGAGTGGACATGAGTTTTGTGCCTGCTGAAATGTAGAGGCCTACTTGTACAGGTTCCACTCCAGTGGCCTATCTAGTGTGTCCATGCTTGACTGCCATAAGGCTCAAGACGCTAAGAGGATAAGACTCTGCGCATAAAAGACACTAGCGGTCTGCACCTCAACCGTGTACGCCCTAGTCACTCTTTCACCCCCCCCCCGCCCCCTTGGAATTGATTTTTCAATACAGACCCCCCCCCCTCCCCCCTCTAAAATCAATTCTCTCCTGGAGAACGTCTTCGTGAGCCTCTCATGATTTCAGGATAGTTGAAACCCTCTTGAACATTCAGAAAGAGTGAATTCACGAAAGGTGTTCCCCGAGGGGATACATACCTAGAGTTTGTTTTGTGAAGCACGTCAATTCTCTCCTGGGGAGCGTCTTCGTGAGCCTCTTATGGTTTCAGGATAGTTCAAATGTTTTCCTAAGAATCTTTTTGAACATTTCGAGAGCACATGTTTGAACATTTAGAGTGCAAATGAACATATATTTACGAAAGGTCGCCTCCGAGGGGATAAATCACCATGTCGAACATTGCATTTCTGTTCCTGCCTCTCGCGTTCTCTTCTCTTCCCGCTGTCCTACCTTTCGTGTCTCCCTCCTCTCAAGTTTTGTAGCGATTTTTGGGCTACAGTATATATATTTATGCTGGCTCAAGTGTGGAAGAGCATTTTGTAAAGAAAGCAAGAAACGCATCCCCGTTAAAATGTCCTCTACGGAATTGATCAAAATCAGGTATCACGGGATAGCTATTCCAGGTGGATTTTATACATATGTTTAAAAAAACACACCACCATTTTGACAATTTTTGTAGAAATCTGCGGGATTCTAATTGATAACGGATTCTGTAAATTCTGTAGCATTTTGTTTTTATCTTGCATTTTATCCTTGCAAGACTATGCATTGAGTGCATGTGGAAATGGATTTAACCTATGTTCATTGATTCAGGCACTCTGGTTTTTGAATCTGGCATTCTGGTTCTTGATTGGCTAGGATATAGCATTGATTATTGCATTATTCTGGCTTTTGAACATGTTCATATTCTTATCTTCTTTCACTTGGGCCCATTACTTTTTGCATGTATAAACAGATAGGAAGAGGACAGCTCCATTATATATTTGAACATAGCAAAGCTATGTCTTGACCACATGTGACCGCAGCGAGCGGCAAAAAAACAGTTGAAATCAATCGAAATCATCTGAAGCCTAGATGAAACGATGAGACATAGATTCAGATGCCACATGCAAAAGGACTAGGCCCTTTAGGGAGGAGACCTTATTAAAGCAAACCAACTTCCTTCCTTTTCTATTTCAAATGTAGGGAGTGGGGTTGAGACAGTCAATGTTGTAGTAAAAACTGGAAACAAAATCATGTTTTGGTTTTACAACAATGAGGCCTTGAAAGCAGTCTACAAAATTGCAGGCAAAAAGAACTAAAACTACTAAATGAAGGGCCTCAAAGGTATTGTTGTAGAAAACGGTGCGTGCAGTCTCTACATAATGAAGGGCCCTCCCGTAAATCTCAGGAATCAAGGCTTCATTTTCTTAGTAGATGTGATCTTCAAAGTCTACAAAATGAGGCCTCTTGTCTACAAAATGGGGGCCTTATTGTATATTACACTATCTTCCTCTTGTTTCCATGTCGTTTGTCTTGGAGATTTTCATTTGAGCCAGGACTTGGCCTCACTTGGTGGCCGATGGCGGGGCCACGGTGTTACAGGCCACAGCGCCGGAGTTGCTGCCAGAGCTGGTGCTCGGAGATTTGGATTCAGCGCGGCCTGAGGTGCTCCAGTCCTACAGGGACAGGCCAGACGCGGCACATGCGGGCAGACTGAACAGACACGTCCTGGAAGTGTCTTGCTGCTGAAGAGAGAAGAGCATGGACTCATGAAATAGCTGCAATGCTACTTCCATTAGCTTTGTAAATCTTTGTGATATTGTGGTCTTTGGGGATTAGGCAACCACTACGTGGAATGTTGGTGACCTGTGTTTTGTTTTTGGGTTTCACCCTCGGGCCCTGCATCTGTTCCCTTTGTCGGCTAGGGGCGTGGAAGTCCGTGACCTTTCACACGACCAAGACACCACCGACCTGGAGAAATGTTTGAATACAGCTCAGAAGGACGAGAAACTTTTGCATGGTTTTGTCATGTAGCTGGGACATGTAGCCAGCTCGGGGAAGATTTCACAGTGGATCAGCGTCCCAGGACTTCGCCTGCAAACGCATCTTCGTGGCAGGAACGTTTGCAGGTGTTCAGGGCTGCTTCGACCACACCTTGGGTGCATTGAACGCTTTGTGCAAGGCGGAGGTGCAAGGCATCAATGCGGCACTTCTTAGCATCGTGGTTGCTGAGCCAACTAGTCTTTTGGGAGGATTGTATGGGTTTGGACTCCGGACATTCCTGATGCTTCCGAAGTCCTCCTGGGATTTCTTCAGACCATTTGAGGCGATGATAGCTGCTGCATCCTTCTTCCTAAAGGCCGTCACTGCTTGACAGCCCCGCGTCAATCATGTTGTGGTCTCGTACCACTGGGCGGCCCAGTGCGTGTCACAACAAGCGGACTATGCTGGGACATGAAGGCGTGCTTTTGGTCATGCTTTGCTGACAGCACACATGTAACATGGGCCCTTTCTGATGCCTCTCCCCGATCCATTCCCCTTAGCACTTAGCACACCGCCGTAGTGACAATACTGCTAGTGTGCATCGTTTTTCATCAGCAAGATCCTAAGCTTGTTTCGTGGCACTTGACACAAGACATCACCCCGTTTTGTTTGGTATAGGACGCGGTGCTGGAATGGGGCGGTGTGGGCCTTATATCGTGTTTTCCTGTCTTTTGCGCCCCCTTTGTCCACGCCCCGGCAAGATTTCCGAGCTGTGGACTGAGGTTTGGTGAGCACTAGCAATGGTCTTGATGAAGCCGGTGATGGCCTAGTGTGGGTGGACACGGATGGCACAGTTCTCTGGACCTGCAACAACGTGCCCTAATACTGATACTCGTAAGATTCCTCGAGACCCTTCGAAGTGCAAGCGCTAAGAAATGCGGCGGACAGTTAGTCGCAGCAGGAAGGCCAGATCACTTGGCCAACTGATTTCAGCTGAGCTTATGAGAGGATCTCAGCTCATTGGGCGTGACTTGTAGATAGATGATCGACATGCAGAAGAATAAGAATTGTGAAGTAGTCCCACAAGACATCCTGACCTCAAGTGTCGATGGAGACCGTATAAAAGGGACACCGAGAAAACTGCGACCGCATGAGAGTCATAGGTCTACATAGGTCTACATCAAGATTTGTGCGCCTTGACAAGAAATGCTCGAGCAAATGGAAGACCACGGACGAAGAAGCGTTGCCAGGAATGGCCGGTATTGCCGCCAAGCAATGAGCAAAAGGGCTCCAAACCGGCGCAAGAGCCAGCACAAACAACACAAAGCTCCAATCCCAAGGCCTGTGTGATGTGTTTTGTTTGTCCCTCCGCTGCATGCATTGTCCTTTGGATTGCTCAGAATTGCTCTTGTCATCAGGCATCTAAAAAAGGAGATGATCCCTGGACGGCTGGGAAGGATCCGTGGGCACAGGCGGGAGGAAAAACACACATACTTCGAGAAGAAATATCAAGCAGGGAAACTTTGAAAGAGAGCTACGGTGCATCCGGAGAGCTACGTGTTTCGGGCTGTGGTCAAGAGGTCCTGCCCTTGGGAGCCAGGCAGCAAAGTGTGCAGCCCAAAGTTCCCAGAAGGAGTCCCCAAAAGTGGAGCAGAAGGAGACTAAGGCGGCTAAGGAGGCAGCGCGGCAGGACAGGAATCAGGCTACCAGCCAAACGTCATTTGCATGGTTTGAGGGCAAGAATTCTGCAATTGACCTCACTCAAGGGTGGGCATCCAGAAAGGACACATATTCGGCCACCCTGCGTAACCTTTTTCGGCGCGTCATCTTTTCCAAACACCTGCACAGGGTCTTAGCAAAGCGTGGGCATGTTTTCTAAAAAGTGTTTTGAGCAACCAGACCCTGACCGGCTAAAAGCACTGCAAAGGCTCAAGAACCGAAAATGAGGCTACAGCTTGGAACAAGAGCTGGATGTGGCGAAGAACTGAATCACTGACTCAGGACCCAGCTGAAGAGGCTCCAGCTGCAGACATCCCCCCCTCCCCCGACTCAGTCACCGCCCGCCATTTGGCCAGCAACTGTATGCAAAACAAAGGATGTCTTTACAATTCTTTAACAACAAGTTTTGTCTTGCTTTTTGGTTGAGGTGTGGCAGAAGTATTTGGACAGCACGACGCAGAAGTACTGGTGGTGTCTCAAACTCAGCGCGCTGTCCAGGTTCAATGGCAACATCCCGTCTTGGCACACCAAGGCTGCATTCAAAATGAAAACAAATGGTTTTACGAGGATGACCCAAAGTGGGAGAAGTTCGAGGCGAGAACCCCCTTCTTACGCTCAGAAAGCCACCGCTTGGTATGTCCAAGTCCCGGAGGTTCACGTTGACTCATGCAGTGCATGGATGTTGAACACTGCCAGGTGCCAGAAGGGCATCCAATGGGTGCTGGCCGCATGTACAGGTGGAGCCTTGCGCCAGACGATCTAGTCCATTTGGACAAAAGAGAGCACAGACCAATGAAACAAATACAGTCACCCTTTTCTTCGTACCGTACCCCCTTCGTAGCTGTTCGTGTGTTTTGATGTGCCGAAGCTCTTCGGTTAGCTCATTCGCCCAAGCATTGAACTTTCAGTGCCTTTGTATGCCTTTGCAGCCTTTGAGCTCCAAGGAACAACGAGACCCAAGAGTGCCTCTTGGATACACAAGGCTGCCAACGCTTGGTATATCAGCTTGGTTTGGGTGCCCCTGATAACGTACAGTACTTATACACTGTACAAGAACTCCAAAAGCAATACCATCACGAATAGATTTTCAACAGATGCTACAAAATCGATTTGCTAAACTGGGAGATTTGCGGCCTTTGCGCCTGCTGAAGAAGGACTCACCTTGAAGGTGGGAGAAGTCGGTCACCGGTCTCCAAACTTTAGCAAAAGGTGTCAAAGCTGAGAACTTGGTCAGGGTTCGCACCCTATGTCAATGCAAGTGCTGTAGCTTCCTGCAAAAAAGGTCACAAAGCTGTGCACAGGCCTTATCTTGAGGAGGCTTGCCCGCAGATATATGGCCCGGTCTTCCAATCTATTCCAAGTTCCCTGGGTCAGCATGCCTTTCTTGGGAGGGTGTCCCGGAGGGTTGCGGGGTTGTGCTGCTGATGCCAGCATAGTGACATAGTGCAGCCCTCACGATTCTCTTAGGCTTCTTCGAAGATACTGGGGAGATCATCGGCCAAGGGGCATAGCCAGCATGCACAAGGCGGGAATGGATGGAAGAAACATACCCTCATGGACAAGAAAATGAAAGACAGAAGAGATAAACACGGAAGGTACTGTAAGGCCTGTCAGGAGTTTCGAAGCCAGTCGTCAAGCATGGGTCGTTGGCCAGCCTTGGGGAAATCAGTTAAAAATGGCTTTGGACTCTTGTGACAAGAGCGTGCTAGTAGCACCCAAACATGCCATGCATGATGAATTCTGCAGCAGGTGGCGGGTCACCCGCGCTTTTCGTGAGTGCCCACCAGCTGGCAGGTCTTGACTGCAGTCAAGCACGTAGGAAGGCAAGCTGCCACGAACTGCTTCTTCTGGGCATTGAGCCACTCATCTGGACATTTCTTGAACCATTCAAAGCCTTGTCCAGGGGCGGGGAGTTTCAAAGCCAATTGTCAGCCCTTTTGGGCAGGATCCCATTTGGCATAATTAGAGCTTGAGCACAATTGGCTGGGACTCCCTAGTCCCTAGTGCTTTCCAGAATCACCACCAAACCAGCATCCTGAGCCCATTTTCCGAAGTGGCAGCTTCCGAAATCATTGGTTTGAAGTTTGAAGTTCAATCAAGTGGAAGCATAGGACGGCACGAGCGATGGGGTTCTGTCTCGGGGCCTGGCCACTCTGCAAGAGTGTCCAATTTAAATCGCAGCTGCCAGCTGCCGTGTTGCAGCAGATGCTGCCGGCTTGCTTGCAGGGTCTACCGTATTTCAGTGGGGTGCATTTTCTTGGGAGGGGTGAAATACTCAAAGAAAGGAAGATCAAAGGTACTCCAATGGTCACCCTCTCCCCTCTCACTGCAATTTTGCAGAACATGTTTACGGAATCCTTGCGGCAAGCCAGAAAAGAGCAATGGCCACACAGTGCGCCTTGAGATCACCAGGCGGAAAGCCGGTGCCAAAAAGAGGCCTGTTTTGGAATGTCACAAGACTGTAAGACACCCTGCAGAGGTACGGCACTTATGGGATCTATATATACATTGGAACCAACCGCCGCAAAACAAATTGGCTCTAGTTTCGGTGCTTTTGAAGGTTCAGAACGTCGAGTTCCACTTCTCTTGTGCTCACCATGGCCTACTGCACGGTTCCGCCAATGCAGTACTCCGTGAATGTCGACCCATTGATGCACTCGCA